GAAGGAAGGATTGTCCTCTTTCTATCATTCACCAGCCTGCATGACAAAAGTACTTGAATTTTGAAGTGAATAATTTCAATGGTGTCGTGAAGGAAAACTTGTGAACATAATGAAAAAGAAGATAATCAGACTTGGTCTTTTCCTAAGGATGGACCCTTTCTATCCCGAACGACCTTATCTCTTTGTGCCTGTCTAAATAATTCTCATTCTTTACCTTTCCTGAATTCTTTTCGTCCAAGGAAGCATATATATGAAAGTTACTTGCAGTGGACACATTTTTTATCTCTAGGAAGCATCCGGGGCGGGGGTTCATTGCTTTAGGAGCCGGCCCTGTTATCGACCCAGAGTGGACCGTCCTACGGGGGGGTTACTATGCCGATTCGGTGGAGACGGCCCGACTTCTGAGATCCGAGTCTTGTGCTCGGGCGAGGCGGAGGAGTACCCCACACCACTTCCTAGAGGAAGAGGCATGCAACACGTCAAGCAATGCCCCTGATCAAGAATCATCCGCAAAGCAGCCTGTCATTCAATAATATTAAGAATGTGTGGGGACAGGTGTACGTGCTTAATCTAAGGTCGGCGGTTGCATCTATATTATTGTCGATAGCCAACTCCTTGTTGGCGGTTGTATGATTGTCTTGTGATATTCGACCTAAGGCGGTTGGATTGTTTCTGTTCTTGTGTTATTGAATGTATCGAATGATGATTTGGACTTTCTCGGTTATTACTTTGGATTTGATGTACATCCTTATCGGTTGCGGTCAACTCCTTTTGATATAATTATATGTGTGGTTGTCGTAACTTTCGTTTGACTTTATGTTTAAGGGACTAGGATTAATGTAGGGTTTCATGCTTGGTTGGGACAGTCCTAGTCGACCGACGTCTGCTTCGCACCTAGGAAATCAGCGCCCTAGGAACGGGCGACGATCGGGTCCGCTTGCCGTTAACCAAACGTATCTATTCTACAGCGAACGAGCAAACGCTCTCGATTGACCTAGCTCTGCAATTGCATCTAAAAACCCCTTTGCAATTGCATCTAAAAGCCTTCGCACGTGGGTCAGTAACTCGGAAGGGATACGCCCCTATGGTTGGTGACAGCCCCTTAGGGAGGGAAAGCTTATGCCCCGCGGGAACCTATCGTGTCGTAGGGGACCACGGGATGTACAGCTGGCGCACCCGCCTAGAGCGGCGAAGGGACGACGCAACCGCGGCCGTCTTGGCGGCTCGCGGGATTAGGTAGGCGTCGTTCCCGAATTGTCTCTGTTTTTGTAGTGTTTTACTCCTGCGTGACATGGCCGGGAGGGCTCCCCGACCTTTGCAAAAAAGGCGGGAGCCGATGCGCTCGACAGCGGATCCTCGGTTTATATGTGCATCGCCCAACTTGGCATGTAAAGAGTTTGAAAGGCTCTCTAGTTCTGGCCACACAGGTAGTGGCCTGTAACCAACTGGGGCCAAATAACCATCTGGCGTAAGGCCTAGGCCCATCGTTCGAAGATCCAGGCCCACACATAGATTCCAACAGGCTTTGCTTGAGCCCTTCCAGCGTGGTCACATAGGCTCTAGGCGCATATTTATCGGCCCGCCTTCACTTAGGGCGGCCACAACCTTTTCCAACACTGCCGAGGGACTAAATCCTCGCGAAAAGGTGGACACATGCAATATTATTTCCACCTGCTCCGCTTGCAGCACTTTGAACGTGTCGGAGCTTGCCCTGTGTGTCCTTTCTTTCCTGCAACATTTCCTCACATACTGCTTGTCAATTACAGCAATGGCTTACCAATCTTGGCTAGTGAACGAAAGCCATCAAGTCCCATGTGGCTAATCCTTGTTAATATCGGTGATGTAAATCAGTTGATGACATGATGACAATAGAATCTCACGGAATACAATTTGGAAACCCAAGATGCAAGCAACACGGCATGTGTTGCCCTTGTGTTCCTGCTGCTCAGGCTGTATTACGAGTAAGGAACCCACTATCATTTAAATCTGCATGTACAGACTGTTACATTTCGTTTTGGCCGCGGGCCTATGGTCCTGGCCGCCGGATCTATCATCTTGGCGCCCAGGAGCTGGGGAGTGTCATTTTTTCTCGTTCACCGAGAGCTGTTTTCAAACGTTTATCGCAGGCGCCAATTGCAGGCAAATTCGAATAGTTCCTGAAATTTCACATTGTAAGGTGGTTTTCCTTTTGTGAGGAAATCACGGAGGTTCTACAAATTTGGATGTGTTTCTTTTACACTCTGAATTGGTGCTAAGTGATTTGGTGTGATGTGAATGGGTGTGACGTCATTTGGTGCTTTATGAATTGGTGCAACACCAATCGGCACAACGTTCTTATATGCGATGTGAATTGGTTTTAGAAATTGGTGCTGCGTTCGATGTGCTATGTGAATTGGTTCGACGAATTGGTGCAACGTACTTGGGGCTGCATGCCACATGCTCCTTGCTCTTCTCTCTTCTTTGCTACATGCCATGTGAACTTGGTTCTCGTGCTACATGCTACGTGAACTTGGTGCTTCATGCTAACTCCTTTCAGAACTGGGAATTTGTGACCCCCTCCCTCTCTCTTCTCTCTCTCTCTCTCTCTCTCTCTCTCTCTCTCTCTCTCTCCTTAATGTGCTTCCTGAACTTGGTGCTTCACACCTCGTGAACTTGGCGCAGTGAGGCCAACCTCTCCAAATAGGGTTCACCAACTAGCAACCCAACTTCAAGAGGCTAAAGGGAGAGCTAGAAGAGTGAGAGAGAGAAAGGCCAGACTAAGAAGTAAGCAAGCAGATATGACGAAATTGGAAGGGGTGCAGGAGGGTAACCTGTCCCCAATGGAGACTTTGCTGAGTAAGAACATGCTCGTCTTACATGAGGCCTTCTGTGACACAGGTTCCATCATCGCAGGCCCGATTGGATACTGGCTGCATTAGGAGCGCAGGGAAGACCAGTTCTCGACAGTGTGATGCACCCTTTTGTTCAACCATCATGACCTTCGCTCGTTAGCTTGCCAGCCCTCGTGGGAGCATTTTCTGCTAGGTTTGGTATGCCACTTGCCGATGGTAGAGCAGTGGGTCCATGTCAGACCCAGGTGCAACCTTCTTTGTCCAAAGCATCTGCAGCTACAGGGTTGATGCAGGCGTCCCCATTTGCTGGGCCTGTAGGTGGGGTGCAGCCCCAATATGTCCCAAAGACGGCCATAGTGCAGCCTGACGTGTTTGCAGGCGATAAGAGGATGAAACTTGGACATGTGGCTCAGGTCTGTCCCTGCGTACGTGTGGACAGAGGACGCTCGCGTAGCCAAAGCGGTGATAGTCGCTGCATCCTTTCGGAGGGCTTTGCAGCTATAGGTGGTTAGATGGCGTCATCCAGTCAGCTGGGCATGGTAGGAATATGGTTGCATGGGCTGGAGGCGTTAGATCAGCATATGACCCTTGTTGAGGCCAAATGGCATGACTTCCAGCAGGCACGCTGTGCTAAAGATGAGCCAAAGGACTTAGATAAGAGTAAGTATAGGTCTTTGTGGGAGGTCACGGAGAGGGCCTAGAAATTGATCATGGTCCTAGGGGTCTGGTATGATCATAATGCTTATGACGGCATATAGAGGTGTCTCCAGGAGAATATCAAGGGTCTACTGGTGAATGAGGCAACTTCCACTCGGAACGACTTCACGACGCTAAGCAAGATGGCACTGAATTTAGTCGTAGTACTATTCAGGGATTGTTAGTGAGCAGACGAAGTGCCTACCCCAGGACTGGAAGAAGAATTGCACCTCCTTTATCCAGAGCAGATGGTATTCAGGAGGAGGTGGATTTCTCGGACCTGGTAGGAAGCACAGAGTCCAGTAGCAGCTCTGACACTTCTGAGGGCGTAGTAGCGGTTGTAGCAAAGGCCAAGGGGGATGGTCCTTCAAAGGAAGGCCATGTCAAGGAATGGGCACAAAGGTCCCAGATTGAGTCCGAGAGGGCCTAGAGGAAGCAGTGTGGCAGGACAGGTTCTATAGGGGCGATGTATGAAGTACGGTCAGTACGGTCACATCAAAAGTAGGTTTCCCAATAAGAAAGTGTTGCAAAAATGGCACTCGTAGCAGCCGAAGAGCAACAGGTGGTGCAGGGAAACACTTCAAGCCAGTATTTGTAGTGACCACTTGTACAAAGGCCGAGCAAGTAGGAGATCCCTCAACCTCTTAGCACAGGATGGGGACACGGACCCCACCGTCACCCCGCTGTTAGAACCAGACCTCGTGATGCACTTTCACGTGATGCGACTGAGTCCTCAGAGGAAGTAGACAGTGCAAGGAAGATGAGCAATAGCGAACTTCAACAATCAAACAGCATCATACACATGAGACCAGATAGTCGTGACCTCGAACCAAAAGTAGAATTGCATCAGGAGTTTCACCAAATAAGAGTACACCAAAAGCTCATAATTGACAATGCTGGAATAGTCTCATCATCATCATCAACGAAGAACCAATGTTGATATCCTATCTGGCTCGGCGCCCAGACTACACCCAAGGACCACCATGCGCCCCATCCAGCATACAGCAGTGCAGCTCAACTATGGTTGTCTGCCCCTTCCAGCTTGCCTGTGAGCGCATGAGCCTGGCAAGGGATAGCGCCGCAGCGCTTGCGCACAAAGCAGCCAGTGCCCGAATGTCCAATGCGTAGGCAGGCCCTTCCCTATATCGAAGTGGCCTGGCACTTGTATTGCGAGTGTCCGTATTGCCCGCAATTGATACAAGCGCCACGCACTCGGCGGTCACGCCACACGTCTTGGTCAAGACCTGCCTTCACTCATTCAGCCTGCTTGGTTTGATTGGAGGCGGCCTTTCCTTGACTCCTAGGTTGGCCCTTCCCTCGGCCACCTGCCTTAGTCTTGACTACCGCGGCGAGGGTGCTACCCTCAGCTACCTCCTCGCCGTCAAACTCTGTATAGTCCATCAGGTCGGTGAGCTCCTCGAGTCCCATCGGACTCAACCATCATCAACTTAGCCCCCTTCTTCCACTCCTGAGGACTCTTCTTCTTCTTCGTGTCAATCTGAGAGGTTGGTTGAGCATTGCCTAGCATGGCCTCCAAATCTAAGGCTTTCCTAGATAGTGTCTCAAACGAATGGTACTCAGTGCGTGCCTCGCTGGCCAGTAAGTTCTTGATGTTCTCTGGTAAACATCTAACAAACGTAGTTTACAGGAACTGGTCACTGTAGTTGATGCCTGGGACGAGGATCAGGCTCTCAATGGTAGTCGTAAGCTCCCTGACCGACTTGAACTTTCGTTGGTCCAGCTTGTTAATCACATCAGTGGCTCTTTGTGCCTCCTGTGGATTATGCCATCGAGCTTCTACCATTTCCATGAACTGGTCTAACGTCAGAGACTTAGCCCAGTCTGCCATGTGTCGCTCATACCCGGCCTTTACAACTACCCCATCTAGCCACTTGGCTGCCTTACCTTCGAGGTAGGGTGCAGCGGTTACCACTTCGTCCTCTAGCAAGGTCCTCTTGGCCTTTACCCAAACCGGGACTGTCCTCAACCATGTGTTGAGTTCTTCGTCCTTCCTCTCGCCTGAGAAGGCAAGAGGTGGTTTCATTGGGGTCTTGGGGTACCATTGACCTTGTTGCTGTCCCTGTTGAGGAACAGGTTGTTGCGGTGGTGTAACTCCCACCGCTGGACCCGAAGAAGAAGATGCAATAGTCTGTGCGAGTGCTGCAGACGTACCACTTGGTTGTGTACCAGCTTGAACTGGAAAGGGGCTTGACATCGTCGATAACGGCAACGGCGATTGTGCTGGTGGCCTGAATCCTGGCCTTGTCAAAACATCCAGGATCTGGTCTAGAGTGCTTTGCATGAAGTCTAATCTGCTGTCCACGTGCGCATGCAGCAAGAGCATATTCTTCTTCAGTGTTTTTATCTGGTCAGACAATGCTGACTCATCCAAGCCCTCTAACTCAGCTTTGTCAGCCTCTAAAGTATCAAGCCTGGCTGCTCTATTTTTAATCTCTTTTTCTCTATCGGTAGCTTTCTTCAGGTCCCTCTCTAACTGTTCACGGATCCTTTCCACCTGTTGGAGCTCCCTGAGCTCCCGTTGGCGAGGAGTCAACGGGCTGAACTGCGCGCCCGCCATTTGACTTGTAGACTGCCGAGAACCCATAGAACTGGAAGTGCCCGTGGACCCTGTTGGCATTCCCAACTGGGTCCCATTGGTCCCAGACAAAGCCGCAGAGGATGCTGCGGAGCTAGTCATGGCTGCTGCCCTGGCTGCTGCTGCAGCCTGTTCCCTAGCTGCAGCGTTCGCTGTTTCCCTAGCTGCTGCTAGAGCACGGGCTCTGCGTTCGGCACGAAGCCTTCTTTCTTCTCCCGGTGCTAAGGTCTGGAACACATGCGGGACCCTAAGTGATCTAGCACGTGTTATTCTAGCATCGTCAACTCCCTCCTCATCGACGTCTAATCCGTTCATGAATTAGGCAAACATTGTCTGCACTAGAATCCCCTAGTGGAATCCTACCACAACATGTGTCTGACCGGCACCTAATGTGTCCGGCAGGTCCCTTACTGTACCGATCAAGTGGCATATCTACAACATTCACACAGATTGTCTACATTGTCTAGATGCACTCTGATTGGTTCACTTACAGCAGCACTAGATAGAACTGGCTATGGTAGTATACTTCAGTCCTAGTCTGTTTGTGAGGTGTTAGCAGTCTGTCCACCAACTAATCAAGAGTTCAAAATGACCATGTAACAGATGTATGATTGATGGGTATGGTTGTGTATACGGTTGAGCACCAATTGGAATCTACCCTTCCCCTCAATCCAACCATCCGGACAGGATCATTGAGCGAAGCAGTGTTTTCGTGTGTATCGGCCCACCCCTGTGCCCAAGTCAGAGCCGAGCAAGCCAGCCAGTCCACTCTTATTTACCCTCATACGGAAACGAGCCTTACACCCGGATGATCTGGCTGATCAGGAGGAATTTATAGAGCGCCCCCATCTCTTCAGGAATTCTTTAACATCGCAGTGAGGACGACGATCACAGCCAGAATCATTCCGAGTCCCCAACCAGAAATGTTTATAGACGGTCTGGTAAGCGTTTCTTAAAAGGCTGGCACACCCGGCAAGACTTCTATTTGAGCGCAGCAAGTGCCAAACAGGACAGCAGCCATCGCATGCGTGCACTACTCCCTGTGGGTTGGCATGGTGACCGTGACCGAGTGCTTCAACCAGGGCCCTTCAGAGGCACCGCCCTTTCTCCTTCCAGATGCTTCCGGGAAGATTGTCGTCTCTCAAGGTAGCGCGCTCACGACACCTCACCAAGGAGAGGACTCTCTAGTTGGACTCACTTCCTCACGGTAAGAAGAGATTGAGAAGGTAGATAAGGTAAGGGATCAACAAACCTGGAGATAGCTGCCCCAAACCACAGATTTTCTCACCAATTGAGCTGATGTTGCATTTGATGACCGGTCATGACCTCKGTACCACCCACAACGCAATGCAGTGCCACCTTAGTCCAATGCCACATCAGCATGCTCTCATCATCAATCAAACATTCCGCTGTTTCCCACGGCATACAATGCCGTCTTAGCCTTCCGGCGCACCCCTCTCTACTTAGGGCGTGCGCCTGTCAATGGCCTGACGTCACAAGTACCAACTGCGAAGAAGCATCGTCAACGCACCAAGTCTGTATAACGCCAGCATGCCATAGGTAAGTGGCCATCAAACCAGCTCCGATACCAAATTGCAAGCAACATTAATATGGACGAAGCACAGAAATCCAGAATGCAAAATCACACTGAAGTCCAAGTAGTCAAAGCCTGAGCAGATAGCACAATGAACCGAGTAACCATCCAATTGAGAATGATACAGAAGAATCGTGAGTCAATGTCCATGCCCAACAGGGCAACACCAACAGCATAACCCAATGTAGCTCTCTCTTATGAATGGCGCCAGGCGCCCTATCTACTCTACAGACTAAGCCTACAACTACAGCAATGAAAGCAACCAGACAACTTGACTACCAGCGAGTGATGATGTCAACACCAATGCCGACCTCCACCTCCACCAGGTACGTGTCCTCTTCACCCACACTCTCCCTTGTACCCACACAGCGCCCTTCACCTCCGAAGAACCACCTTCGCCCTTCACCCCTCTGCGCACACAGGCAGCCCGGCTATGGCCGCCAGCGCCCTGCGCCCACAGGCAGCGCCCTACCGCCTAGCGCTGTCCTGCTTCTCTCAGGCCTTAGCGCAGCGCAGCATGCATGGAACGCAGCAGCGTGCCGGCCTTGCTCGCAATAGCCAAGATCCCTGCCCACTCGCCCTGCTTGCCTATATGCCAGTTCTGCGCGTGGGCGGCCTCCCTTCAGCCTGCGTCTGAGCCCCAGTGGCTGAACCGAGGCCCATTACAGTTGAGGCCCGGGGATGCAGTTGCACCTCTTTCGTCAAGGCCTGCGGCCAGATTCAGATAGTGGGCCGATTTCCCTTTGGCATTTTCGGCCTCTATACCCAGCATGCATTGTCGGCCTCACGTTCAAGTACCCAGGGCCTAACTAACTCAGAGGCCCTGGGTTTTCAGCATTTGCTGAAATCCGAGACTCGGTGCACTCCGACCAACTGGCGTGCTGCAACTGTATGGACCCCACTTCGGGAAATGTTTGCACAGAGGGCTCTTGCTGGTTTGCTGGCCCGCCTTCACTTAGGGCGGGCACGAGGCTTGCTGGGGCCTTAGCCCAGAACATGTACATCATGGCAAGGCCCCTATTTGAGGGCTCAATCCTCACAATTGGCTTGGGGGAGGTCGCCCCTTGCCCCCCCCCCCCCCCCCAGGCGCGCACACACACACACACACACACACACACACATACACACACACACGCACACACACATCATCATCAGGGGGGATTCGGGGTCAGGCCAGCCGTTCGGTGCACAACTCGCTATCCCACCCAAAAATGTTTTTTTTTTTAATATGTATATGTGGCGATCATGACCTCCGATGTCATCTTGGGGGGGGGGGGGGGGGGGGGAACTCGACAGTCGGCATTCGGTTGAACGTCTCGGGGGGGGGGGGGGGGCAAATATTCGGCTCTTCGCGTTCAGTGGTTCGGCCAAACCCGAACTCCAGCTACCCTGATCCTACGTAGTAAGGTGCCTGGTGGTAGGATCTATAGGATTTCTCCAGCAGAGTTGGATGATCTCGGTAGGCAAATGAAGGAGCTTAGTGAGAAGAGATGGATACGGCCAAGTATGCCTCTCTACAGTGCACCAGTTATCAGGGTTCTCAATCCCATCAGTGAGAAGAACACAGAGCACCAACCATGCATCAATGGCCTCTTGGAAAAAGTGCAGGGATGTAGGTGCTTCAGGCAGATGGATCTGAAATCCAGGTATCATCAGATACAGAGTGGGCTGGAGGATCTGCACAGTCTGTACAAGTTTGTGGTGATGTCGTTTGGGCTATGTAATGCACCCGCTATGTGGGTTTATGACAACTTGGATAAGCTCATCGTCGTTTACTTTGATGATCTGCGTGTTTTTAGTAGGACTCTGGAGGAGCACGCACTACACCGAGATACTGTGCTAGGCCTTCTCCCAATCTGGAGAAATGCGAGTTTGGTCACACCAGAATCTTGTATGTTGATTATGAGATATCCCTGGATTATCAGAGGGTGGAAGATGCGAAGGTGGCGGCCATTAGGGACTGGCCAGGACGATCTGTGATTGGATGCGCAACACCCAGGTATCGTGCTAGGCCTTCTCCGGAAGCACCAGCACTAGATCGATCTTGAGAATGCGAGTTTGGTCGCACCAGAATCTTGTATGTGGGTCATAGATATCGTAGAATTGTTCGGGACCGGAAGATGCGGAGGTGGCCACTATTGGGGACTGGCCACAACCTCTGTCTGTGACTGAAGTCAGATCATTCTTGGGAATGACGGGCTATTATCATTGGTTTGTGAAGATTTATAGCTCTATCCCAAGCCCTTAACTTATCTTACACACCTTGCAACCCCTTGGGAATGGACAGCTGAATGTGCAATGAGACTCGCTTTGTTCTTCACTTCACATACCTGCAATCAGATAGCAACTCACACTGGCGCCAAGCGCCCACTCAGAGCTCAGAGATATTGAAACCATGAACACAATTCCGCTGCAAACTCGCTTCATCAGGCTATGGCGCATCAGCGCCTGTTCATCCCAACTCTTGTCACTGTTTCAATACCACTGTTCGGACATACTCAACTCTGCATCACCCTGGATATCCCACACGCTTCCAACCTGCAGCGGGTATGACCACTCCACTACTACTGACTATGGCTACGCTATCTTCCTTCTTCGGGAGACCTGCAGACCACCTCGCACAAGACTCTGTGGCAGTGCTTCCACATGGCTTACGCAGTGAATGAATGAATGGCTGGGCGCTGCCTCTTGATTTATACTTCTGTAACTCGTTGGTCTGCCCTTGGTGCACACAGTCCCTCATGGCACTTCCTGACTGTGCAAAGTGAGACTGGGACTGGTACCACTGACTAAGCGAAGTTGGACTCGCCACTTGCCCACTTGCCTCTGACTAAACGTGAGAAATTCTCGAAAGGCCACTTCCGGACCTTCCGGGAGTTTGCAGACTTGGCCTTTCAGGACTGTAGCAGCTAAGAACTTGACCCTTCAGGACTGTAGCAGCTACGACCTTGACCTTTCAGAACTACAACAACTACGACCCCTATGCAGGAGTGACCCCTACTTCGACAGGTCTAAGGTTCAAGACCCTACAACTAGTCAGACCTATGACAGACCACTGCAACTACTAATACACAGGTCACGGGTTCAAAACTCACAGGGTTGACTTGATACTGTACACAGGTAAGGTAAGGTAAGGTTGGGTCTGTGGATAGAACTCTGGGATCCACATCTGTGTCTGCAAAAAGGTGAAAAACGTTTCAAATGCAAGCATGCCTTCAGAAAGTTGAAGTATGCTGCAAAATCCTTGAACCACCAGTACTTGGCCAATACATCCGTCACGGGCCCTTGTCGTATACGTGCCGCATTAAGCGGGCTTCGGGCCTACTGGACCACAATGGCTGGTGGCGACAGGCAAACGAAAAAAAAAAAGCTGCACTGGCAGTTTGGCAAAAGCTTGGCGTGCAGGGTGTTTCCACCATCGGAGAAAGGTGCCTCAGAAGTACTGGCGGTTTAAGATCCCAAATCCTGATGAGCGATTTGTCGTTATGGAACTTATGACTGATGTTTGCCAGTATGGGATAGGTGCAGTCCTACAGCAATAGGAGGGGGAAAAGTTGAGGCCGGTTGAGTACACGAGTAAGAAGATGGCATCTAAGAAACTAGCCAGCTTCACCTGTGAGAGGGAGTTGTATGCCCTACATAAGGCATTGACCCACTGGGAGCATTACCCCCATGGCAGACATTTTGAAGTCCGGTCTGACCATGAGATGCTCCAATGGATCAAGACACGACCCACACTTTTGGATGCGCTGAAACGTTGGGTACAAGTCATTGGCATGTATGACTTCCGCCTTCAGCATGAC